GTAGGGAAACACCTCGCCAGGGTGTGACGGGCTGGGATTACTCACAGCTTGCTTCTCGGCTATTTTGGGAACTCCCTGAATGCTGCCCGTTTTCTTTGGCAGCCAAAAACGGTGCAGGGGAAGGAAAAAAGTCCCTCCTAGCAAAGCTCTGTCGCCGGGTTGGTGAAAAGAAAATCTATGGAGCCCCATCACCTGCCTTTTGCACCAAGAGAAATCCCAACGCCGATGCAGGGCACAGCCCCTGCTGTCACACACCTCATGGCTGAGGCCTCCCGAAACACCCGTCCCCACCAGCCAAGGGCACAGGCAGGGCTGAGCAGGCAGCTGCCCAGCCCCACCGATCCCACCAGGGCTCGGCATGGGGGGACCCATGGGAGGGTACGAAGCCGCTGCCACCGCAGGCCTCGTGCCCCAGCCCTGCAGCCGCAGCGGCACCGCGAGTGCTGAACAAAATCATCGGCGAGCGGGGATGCTGCTGTTGGCGTTGCAAAAGATGAGAAGCAGAAATGGGAACCAGGGTCCCAAATGCACCCGGGGGGGAGGGATGGGAGGCAGGGCACGACCGTGGCACTTTCCGGCTTCAACGTTCACTAGAAAACAGCGATGCTTCCCCCCACCCCCTCCCAGGTGGTTTGGATGCTCAGGGGCCTGGACCCTCCTCCCCAGGGGTCTCGCTGTTCACCCAATTTAATGCCAGCCCCCAGGGATGGGATGGGCTGCTGGATGGGATGGAGATGAAGCTGTCCTCCAGCCACAGGGGTGAGAAGCAAGGACTGCTCAGCCGTCGGAGCTCCGACGCTCCCGCTGTTGTGTTTCCTTGCCCCAGCAGCTGGTTTAGGGCCAATTCCCTGTGGGCTGAGCGGTGCTCCTGCCCCGGGGGGGAGCCACGGGTGACCCATGGGGAGCTGGGCAGCCCCTTCCCCAGCAGGGAAGAGCATGGGAGGGGCTGTGGCTGTCCCCCTGCTCGACCTGGAGGCTCTCAAGGGAGGAAAATGGGCATTTTCACATGTCCAGGCAGGGTGATATTGGGACCCGACACAGCTCCGTTATCTCCCCGGCCAGCCCGGAGGCGCTGAGCAATTCGGAAACATCCTTGGAGGAGATAACCAAACCTTGGCAGGAGCCAAGCGCTGGGGGCTCCTCCCGGTCCCAGGGAGGAAGCCACCCGCCAGAGGAACTGTATTTTCAGTTTTGCCGAGCCTGGTGGGGCGGCGGGAGGTGGGTTTGCACCCGCTGGTGCAGGAACATGGTGACGGTCCTGCTGGGAGCCACAGGACCCCATGAAGCCACCCCTGGCCACCATGGTGGCCCGGTCCTCCTGCACTGCTGAGACCCCAGCACTGACTCCCGGGAGCCCCTCTGCTCCCCACGGCGGCTGCAGGGTGTCACCCCCCCATGCTCCTGCCAGCCAAGCCAGGGACACCCGTCCTCACTCCCCAACATTGGTGTGGGTACCCCAGGAGCCAGCCTGGTCCTGGGGGAACATTACTGCCCCAGGGCAGATGAAGGGCAGCCCTGACCGTCCTCTTCCTCACACTGGGTGAAGCTGGAGGCAGCTGATACCCGAGGAGGAGAGAACAGATTGCAGGCAGCTCTGGCTCTGCCGGCACCAACCCCTGTGGGACCCCCGGGGGGGACCCTTTCCAACACCCTGCAGCTGCCGGGCCTCCAGCAAGAGAATAAACCTCAAACTTGCTGCCAAAGCTGGGGGGAAAAAAAAAAAAAATCAAAACGCAACAAAAGCAAAACCTACAAGCAGCAAGGCGATACCTGCACCCCCCCAGACCCCAAAGCAGCCCCAGCTGGGGGGTCCCCACCTCCCTCAAGCAGGGTGTGAGCACCGGGAGAGGTGACGGCCACAGCCCCCCGTGGGACAGACCCCAGCTCCTCGGCAGGGTGGCAGAGCTGCCTCCCCCCTCCTTACCTTGCTGGGCAGCGCAGGCAGGGCAAGTTCGTGGACTCTGGGCAGTCGACACGAACGGCAGCCCGGAGCGAGCGGCGGGAGCTGCTGGCTGCCCCGTGGAGGCAGCCCGACTTCCCTTTTCCTCTCCGAGAAATGCAACCACTTCCTTACGTGGGCGTTGGGGGAGTGCAAAGCAGCTCGGCGGCCGCCCTGCCCCTGCCTGCGAGCCAGGCCTCTCTGCCATCGCCGCACGTGGATGAGCCACCAGCCCCGGGATGCTCCCGGCAGCCCCCGCTGCTCGGCGGGATGCGGGCAACTCCCCACCGGTGCACCGGGGAAGGATGCAGCCAGAGGGGCGAAGGGGAAGGAGCCCCATCCTCTCCCTCTGGCTGCAGGAAGGTTGCTCTCCACCCCCACCCCAGTCCCTGATGCGTTTCGGGGGGACAGATGCAGCAGGGAGGCCCTGCCCGCCGTTGCTGGCCCGCAGCAGGCGATGGCTGCGGTCGGAGCCCACCCAGGGCGAGATGAGCGTCAGCATCGCCTCCCACGGCCACGGAGATTCACAGCTCGGCAGGACCCCGTGGTGCCTGGATCCGGCCGCCCTGAGCAGCAGCTGCTGCTGGTTCCCGCATCCCGCTGAGCCCAGTGGGACCCCAGCCCAGGCTGGCTGCAGTCACGGCTGCGTGCACGTACCCCCACCCACCAGCCAGGCACCCCTCTTGTTTTTTTTTCTCCCTCCTGCTTCCAGAACAAGTAATCCTTATCCCTTTCCCAGCCGGGCAGGGTAACTCCAGGAGCTCAGCTCCTGCTGGAAGTGCTGGGGGGAGAGATGGGCTTCAGCTTCTTGCTCCCCTGCTGCCAGCCGGCTGCAGTCACGCATGGAGGGATGCACCCACCCCTTCCCTCCGCAGAAGCGGGACAGCAGCGCCTTGGGGTCCCATACAGGGAGGGCAGGGCCCCGACGGGGCTTCTCAGCTGCGGGGTGTGGATACAATAACCTCGTATTCCTTGAGCTGCAGAATTAATCCCCAGGTGAGGAGGGCAGCTGTAGATAAAGGCTCTGCGGGGTGGCACTGAGCAGGCAGCTCATCACTCCCTTGGTCCTCAAGTCCGTTATCCGTGCTTCCCTTCACACGTGTTGCAGTGATCCCAGCAGACACACATGGAGATCCAGAGATGTCCCTGGAGGATGGTGAGCCTCTGCGGCTCTGGCCAGGAGTGAATCCCCACGGTGGGAAAAGCCCCTCTGGGAAGCAGCGAGCTGCCCCCTCCTCTGGCAGCAGTTTGCTCCTTGCAGCGCCCAGCCTTGCCCCCAGCATCGCTGCTGCCCCAAATGCAGCAAGAGGGACACAGCTGCCACAACAGGTCCCACGTGGCTGAAAGCAGCGGCTTTTTGAAGTTTTTCCTGCTGCCTCCACATTGTCCCTAGTCCTCCTTTGGCTATGAGCTGCTCTGCCTTGGCTCTGCACCAGGAGAGCTTGGGATTTCCAGGTGTCCGGCCACTGCCTCCTGCACCGAGACCAGCAGCTCTCATCCACGTGGGATGGGAGGACGCAGGACAGGAGACCACCCCTCTGCCCATCCCTTCCCCTCAGATCCCTTCGGGCAGGGATGCGAATGAACGGTAGCTCAGTTTAACTTCTGCAGCA